AGATGATCTAGGAGCTAGGACTCAACTTGATAGAAACACTGTTCACGCAGTGGCGCTCATCAGTAGGTGTCTTGAAGCCTTCTCCCTTGAACACATGGCCCAAATGCCCACCGCAAGCTGCACATGTTATCTCTACCCTCATACCATCTGGATCCGGCTGAAACAATGAAATATAGGTATACGCATTTGAAACAGATAAAGGAGGGGATGTATGAGATCAAATTAACGGCTACTGAGGCTTACTGTTCGGTTTATGGCTCCTGGAAGGCCCTCAAAGAATGCAGGCCAGCCGCAGCCAGAATCGAATTTTGTGGTGGACTTGTACAGGGGAGTCCCGCAGCCAGCACAGTTATAAACCCCGTCGCCATAGAATTTGTTGTACTCTCCTGTCCCAGGTAACCTGGACATGAATATGAGTCTAGCTTGAGAACAGATGTTTTATTATTATGGGACCATTTATGGAGTACATGTCTAGTGACAGCTATGATATTATTTTCCTGAAGCAAGGTCCAAGCCTCCAAGGTACATGACTGAACATAGCCTGAAGAGCTTGATAAAGCATTCACAGTTACACACACGTGCGAACAATCACTTGTAATTACTCCACTCTTCTGATAGAGGTTACAGCTCACAAAACAGCATCACAATTTGAAATTTGTAAATGTTTGCCTGTATATAGGTGGTAATTACTAATGACTGTTCAAAATTGTGCTATAATTTTACCCACAAGATATTCCAATTATAGCCGACTGACACTTGGATCTGGAAGTTATGGTAGACTGTATACCAACCCTGATAAGAAGGAATGATGATTAGCACATGGCCTGCAGGTATAATAGACTGTACGCCCAAACTTGCTAAGTAATAGGGGCTTTTTCCAATGAACATACAGTGGATCCAAATTATACAGAGGAACTTTCAAGTTCCCAGTGTACAGTTCATTCAGCAGTGTTTTACTTCCAATCAGGATTTCAAATCACAGGCTATGATATCTAGTGATCTGCCTCCTCAAACAGCTAACCGCCGAATAAATCAGGCTATAGCGGCTAAATTGTACTACATGGGAGCAAATAGCTAAATCCTCCCCAAACAGCTATATCCAGAGATTTAAAACCCTGCTGGATCTATATTATCCCCCCTCTCTCTCTTTATTTTTGACAAGAACAATTTGGAATCCTACGGTTGCAAGGGAGATTACTGAACCTGTTATGATGTACAGCCAATCAGCAGTACTCTACCAACACAAGATAATGTTTCATGCTCTCTGCGAATCATATTGTTTCAAATTGTAAGTTGTTATTTTGGCTTTTAAAAACAGGTCCATAGCTTTTGCTATGCACCCAGATATTCGCTATCTAGAAAAGCCAAAATAAACTTACAGTATGTAACACAAGGATTATTTTAGTTTGGCCACTGGAATTGCTCGAATCCACATGTCAACAGAGCAGCAACTACATGTGTTTCTCTTAAACCAAGAGACCCGATCGTGTTAAATGAGAAATCGAACCATAAGGTTATTTCAAGTCAAGTGTCAAGTCTGAACTTAGATGCATGACATAAATAGTACACGTACCAAGGCTAACATGTTGGCATTCTTTTTCTCTAGACTAATTTTATATCAGAAGTCAACTTGAAGACTGAAACTGGAACAGTTTGAGACCGAAATCCAAGAGTACTTGGCGCAACCCTCGATGAACTAGACGAACAAGAATCTGAACGAGGAGGTAGAATCCCTCCGTCGGCAACTCTAGGACGGGTTCAAAAATCAGTAATCAGTAATCTCAACTAACCGGTGGCCATGGGTCCTGACATCGAAGTCGACGGCCACTAGTACCACAACGGACATACGAAGAACCTCAAACAGGATCCGATCGGATCGAATCGATCCATGGGCACGGGAAGTAGATCAAATGAACAACAGCGCTCAGCCACAAATCAATCGTCATAGCGGCAGTCGCTTAGGGAAAAAGGAGGAGTGAGGAAGAGTACTGACTCGGTGCCCTTCTGGCGGAGGATGCGGAACTGCTCGGGGGAGAGGACGGCGCGCCACTCCTCCTCGCTCCTCTGCTTGCTGTTGTCCCCCGACGCCATCGCCGCGGCAGGAAGAGAAAACACTGGCCCCGCTAAATCAGCACAGGGGGAAGAGCCGAATAGGATATGTACGAATGACTGCGATGGACCGACCGTTTTTTATGGATTTTTTATTAGATATATACATCCTTCGTTTCTAGATACATTGTATGTGGACATATTGCATATCTAATCTAATAAATATATATATACATTAAAAAATCAAAACGTTTTTATAATTTATCAGACATGGGCCTCTGCTCCCCTCTGTCTCAAAATAAGTGTTGTTATGACATTCGTGTTGATTAAACTTTTCTAAGTTTAACTAAGTTTGTAAAAAAACACTAGCACCATATGTATCTTCAAATAAATTAATTATGAAAATAAATTCAACGATCTATCTAATTATACTAATTATGTATTATAAATATTAATATTCTCTTATATATATTTGGTTAGATTTAAAAGCATCTACTCGATAAGCAAGAATGACACTTATTTCGGGACGGAGCGACTAAGATTTTATGCATGTCAAATTTTGACCAAGTTTATAAAAAACATTAGTAACATTTATATCTTTAAAAATTATTTTAAATTAATTTAATATGAGTTATTGTACACCTATAAATGTTAATAATATTTTATTTATATTTGATCAAAGTGAATATTTCACTTTTGAGAAAGTGAGCATGACACTTTTTACCGTAAAAAGGATCTATATAAACATGTTGCCTAATTATATGTACTGTTCGTCTAGGTGGTCTTTTAGCTTGTTTAGGTACCATTTAAATGTTATATGTATGATGGTACACCATTTTTATTTAATAGACCGTTTATCCCATAATTTATTTTGTTTAACTGGCCATTTAGTTCAAATAATGGCAAAAGGACAGGTGGCTGACTATGTGTCATTTGGCATTTAGAATAACACCGTCACACCAACTACATGTAGAGCCTATTCGGAGGGGCTCCTGCGGCTTTTTTTAGCAGTACTGTAGAGAAGCCGTCGGAGCCCCCAAATTCGCTGGAGGCTCCTCCCGTTTGGCTCCTTACTACAGGACAGCACAGGGTTGTACAGGGCTGCAGCGCAGGGAGCTGGAGCCTAGGAGCGGTGCCAAACACTGCCAGTAGTTTTGTTGCATCGCCGTCACATGTGCACAAGGGTAAAGTGCAATGGAGCGAGCCCTGTGACTCTGAAGTCCCAAATACTCCTAGATATGGATAGCGCAGCAGCAGAGCGAAGCGTCACTGCCGCCGGTCGCCCACTTGCGCTCTGTTGCGGGGCAAATCCGTTGCTTTTTGCTGGACAGGTGCCATAGCCGAGCTCGATCAGCCATTACATCACGCATCGATTCGCTCATGGTCGTCGTCAATGAGATACTGAGCTTCAGCTCTAGCTAGCAGTATTCCGCTGCAGTAGCAACCGCCCGAAAGGAATGGCGACATGGACGCGGACGTGAGCCACGAACATGCTCATATATTGCAGAGAACACAGCGGACAACGACGACAAGAGACATGCATATCTACATGATGGATTTCCGAAGCACTGGAGCTCTACTCGCAAGCGGCCAAGCGGGCCGCCGAGTCACACTCACGCCTCCCTGGGATCCACGAAGATGGAGCGGGCCGGGGCTGAGCTAGCCCAATCCCAGGCGTCCGCGTGGCGTGGCCGCCACCAGCGCCGAGCCGCTTCATGCACCACAGGTCCTCGGTGCACGACAGGTGGCGCCAGTGAGGAATGCGGCTGCGGAGAGGGTCCATGGCCTGCCGCCACCCTGCCGCGCGCCGCGTTGTTGACAATGGACGGGAACACCGTCTCCGCGGCCAGCGCGGCGTCGCGGCCGCTTCCAGCGAGGCCGTACACGAACCACCCGCGAGCGGGCGGAACATGTCCGGCACGGACGGCACGCGCAGCCACCTGGCCGCGCGGTCCAGCGCGCGAGTGGCGGCCGCGGCGCAGGCGCGACGTCGCGCCGCGCGCGCACCTGGAGCCGGAACACGCCGCCGCAGTCCCACGCGCTCACCACAGACCACGACGCCGACGCCGGCGGGGACGCCACGAAGCGGTCGACGCAGGCACGCAGCCCAACTCGTAGCCGTCGACGATTGCCAGGGATGCGCCGTGGGAGAGCCCTGCTGCCGTTTGGCCGTGGTGCCCTACTGCCCGTTGCTTCGTCATGTTCGTTTGGCTTATAAGCCGTACTCTTGCAGTCAATAAATAGTATTTTTTCTCACAACAAATCAGCCAACAGTACTTTCGGCCATGTCTTATCAGCCAAGTGAACAAGACACTTGTTGCCTCAAGCTAGTTAGGAGCAGGAGCGACGAAGAAAAGTCATTTTTATTAATTTAATACTCTTTCTGTTTATAAATAAATTAATTTTTAGAGTTATCTAAAATTACTTTTTACAATTGACTGAATTTTTTAAAAGAAAAAATATTTATAAAACCAAATAAGATATTATGAAAATTTATTTTATGGCGTATCTAACTATACTAATTTGTTATCATAAATCTTTACATTCTTTTCTAAATATGGTTAAATATTTAAAAATAATTTATGGCAATTTAAACTACTTGTAATTTTATTGGGCTAGAATTAGATCGGTCCATGAACTACGGATACCCATTTGCCTGGATATGCGATTATCCCAAATTCCCAAATGTGGCCTAAATCGAACCGAAGCGGACCAGGCCGAATTCTTTTCCGAATCGATCTTCTTACTGGACTCGTAAATTAACACATTACACTATCGAGGACCTATTCATAAAACTCACGGCCCCACAGCCCCACTAGCTGGAGGCTGCAAACCTGCAACTCGGACTAGCACGAGCACTCGTCCCCGTCTCGAGCCCAGACGCAGCCGGCCGCAAAAACGCCAGCGGCGGAGCACCAGGTCGTCGATCTCCGAGCATCGGCCCGCCGGCGATGGAGAAGGGAAAGGGCCTCGCTCGCCGCTGGGCGGTGGAGCTCCCCGACGCCTCCTCCTCCTCCCCCACCGTCCCCGACCCGCCCGGCTTCACCAGATCCGCGCCCGACGCGGTAACCCCTACTCCTCCCCGTTCGTCCTTTTCGCTGGTTTGGCTCTGTATCCCGCAATTCACGTGCTTGCTCTGGCTCGCAGGACGACGCCGCGGGTGCGCGCCAGCGCAAGGACTCCGAGACTGCATGGAAGGCGCAGGTTCGTTCGATCGGTGCCATATTTGTGCTTGGTCTAGTAGATCCAGGCCGCGCAGCGCGACCTACCCGCTACGATAGGATAACCATATCTTTCAGTTTTGCGAGAGGCTCAGATCTTGATAATCTTGCTGTCCTCAGTGATTATCTAGAGTTAGCGTCTAAGTAGTTCTAGGCTTTGGAATTGCTGTCTAACTGTGTGTGCTCCCTGATGTGAACAGAAAGCTTGGGAAGTCGCGCAGGCGCCGTTCAAGAACTTGATGATGATGGGATTCATGATGTGGATGGCAGGGAGCACCGTCCACCTCTTCAGCATCGGAATTACTTTCTCTGCTCTGTGGCAACCCCTCAACGCGTTCCGTTCTGTTGGGAAAGGTACTGCTTTTATGGTTTTACCCAAGTGATATGATCATATGATCTATTTTCGGTTTGCAAATCCATGCCACTTTAGGACTGTTTTATGGACAACTTGTATATTATGTATTTAAGTCCAGACTTAGCAATTTAGCTTATCTTAGCTAAGCTACAAAGGCTAGGAGGTTTACTTCTAGTGAGCATTCAATGTTCCATGGACTGCCATCTAACTTCTGATCTAATTTTTAAGCCTTCATGTTCAAGTTAAATCATTTAGGAACATGCACCACTTGATGTGTACTCATGTTGAGTCATTCTGGGTGTGCAAGTAACTTTTGGGTGTGCATTTTAGTTTTGACGAATAAGACGATGTTTTATGCTTGTAACCCTTGTACAGTTTGTAAATTATACACAACACTAATCATTCCTAAAAGGCTAAATTGAGTTCCTGTGAATTATTTTATTTACTAGTTCTGTAACATATATACTATTGCAAATGTGCAATTCAGACAAGAATGTGTGTGCCAGAAGCAAGTCATAAGGGTACCTTTTATGCTGCTGTTCATAACTAGCATCACTGTGAACTTGGTGAATGAATAGCATAAAACACAGACAAATCATGGGATGGCTAAAATTTTCGTGATCGGCTTGCTTCTTTTCTCTAGTAATACACTCCAGGACATCATCGTGTTCTCTTCAGTCTTCCGTTGGTGCATTTTTTTTTTATATTTCACATAAAAAGAATGCAATGTTAGTCTCACTTTAAGGCTTATTGAAAGCTGAAAATTCTGCACATACAAATTGACTCAGGAGTCTCCAGTGTAGTGCAATAAGGTTGTTTTACTCCCTAAATCTTATTTGCAATACTTTAAATATTGTTGCAATAGTGCATCTAGTGTAACAATAGCCACATATTTCACTTATATGCTGCTTTGGTTGCGTTATGTTAGTCAGCACATGGAACTACAGAGAAGAACGGAGTTTGGCTTAGTGTGTATTGAAATGCAATTAATCATGCCAAATTATTTGCTTTTGGTCCATAATGTGGTCAGCTATGGGTGTGCTTTATGAAGAGAAGTGAACGGATAAAATTGCAAATAAAAAACTATAACAAGATGACCAATGTGATTTGATTCAATATGGAAAGGGCATTTCTTCTGTCAAGCTCCATATTTCTAAAGTTCTCTTGGAAACAGGAAATATACTAGCTTGGCATACTTCAGTTGATTTCTTAGGTTCAATCAAGCATATATTGTAGTCCTTCCAAACCGAGTGATATCCTTAGTTTCTAAGCAATTCAGCATTGAGTATTTTCTTATAAACAGTTGTTCTCTTTGCAGTTTTTGAACCGTTTAAGGACCCAAGGGTGGATACTATTGCTCCTAAGTTACTCTTTACTGCCCTCAATTTAGCTGCCATGGGTTTGGGTGTATGGAAGGTGAGCTCTTTTACATGTCTAGTTATACATAATTATCTTGTAATTCTCTAAGCATTTGAAGTTCTGATATGACTGCCTCTGCAGCTTAATACATTGGGCCTTCTTCCAACAAATCCATCAGATTGGGTATCTTCACTGGCTCCTGCTCGGGTATGCTTCTGATAGCCTAACACCATACGAACTAAATTCCCTGACATCAGTGTTTAGGTCATGTTTGGATACCATGAGCTAATTTTAGCTCAAAATAGCTCTAGTGCATCCAAACAGGAGGGCTAATAGGTGGGTTATTTTTTTTAGCAAGTCTTGGACTAGTTGTTAGCCAACCATAGCTAATTTGGACAATTTTAAGCCCAACTAGTAACTAGCCATGTGTATCCAAACATGCCCTCAGTGTTGTCATTGTTCAATCATCTTTAGTTTTTTTTATGATAGTTTCACAGTATTGTTCGCTTTAGTAATTGTTAGTTGTATACTGCAAGTAACAGTGTGTAACTATTGTATTAGTCGTTAATAGTTGCTTGCACTGGTTTTGATATCAGATGGAACATAGTCTCATCTGTGTCACAATGCACCTTTGGCACTATCTATGAACTGCCTGAAAATCATGTAATTGGGCAGTCCCAGAGAATATTTGTTTGAAAACATTGTGAGATTTCTTTCCTGCACAATTAAAATGAAACTTAGTCAGAATCATAGGTGATTGCTGATTGTAGTATGGAACTGATTTAGCTGATCTGACTACTTGTATAGTTGTATTGCCAGTGAAACATTTTGTTAGAGTGCATGTTTGCTTAATGAAATTAAATGTGACAATCTTACCATGATGACTAAAGGCAAACTTTAATATGTGAGCCGAATGTAATCTATGACCCAGCCTATATTGGTTTCCTGAACTGGTTTCTATCTTTTCTTTTTCTTATTTCAGGAGGTTGAATATGCCGGAGGAGGGGTCCCCTTAATTTAATGTCCATTTCCACTTTTGAAGTTATTTTACTAGTTGTAATATTACATCAATACTGAGTGAAATTTTACCCTGCACTCAATACACGAGAAGTGCAGTTTTTTTGTTTGTGGATTTGTACTATTTTCTAGATGCATTTGTATCGAATTTGTGACCGTGCAGCAAAGTCGCAGGATATCCACTGGACAGTAACAGACAAGCAGGTTTGTTATAGATATAGTTTGTTCATTTCCCTTGGTTCCTTTGCTACCCTTGTTTCAGAAAAGAAAGAATCTGTTACTGCTCGCCAAGGGTAGTTTTGGACCTAATTTCAGCAGCCGTCAGCTGATTCCACCTGCATCTGCTGGATAATTTTCTGGCGCTTCATGCATGCAATGGAACCATCCATATCCATGAATAGGCAACGGAATGATACCAGCTTGTCTCCAAGTATAGGCAGCACCCAAAGCCGGCAAGCAGGCGTCAGCCACCATCTTCCCTTCTCCTAGCTTGTCTCCTGGCCCTCCGCCCCTCCATTGCCGCGGCCTTTATGTAGCCCTTGGCCTTCCGCTCCTTCACCTCCTTTCCCCCACCATTCCCATGGTGGCCCCCCTCGCCTCCTAAACCCTTCACGCACCATCTCCGAGGACCAGGGCGGCCACCACCTACCCTGCTTCGCGTTCATTCGCCGCTGCCACCTGCGGCGCCGGCGGCAGCCCCAGTCGGCCGGCCGCCTTTCGGTCCTTGCGTGCCCCCTGTCCGGCGGCGCCATACAATAACAATGCCTTCAAATTGTGCCATAGTAGTAGCTATTGCCATCTTTGTTGTTATTATCCTCAGCGCCAGCCACGCGGTCACCGGCGCCCGCGTTGGCACCATGATGATCCGGCAGCCTTCCTCCGTCCTGATGTTCAGGGAGGCGCCCGCGTTCCGGAACAGCCCCGAGTGCGGCGCGGCGGACGGCGACGGCCGGGTGGACATCGCCATGACGCTGGACGCCAACTACCTCCGCGGCACCATGGCCGCGGTGCTGTCCATCCTGCAGCACACGGCGTGCCCCGAGAGCGTGGCGTTCCACTTCCTCACCGCCGACGCCGACGACCACGGCCTCGCCGCCGCGCTGCGCGCCTCGTTCCCGTTCCTCGACCTCCGGGTGTACCGCTTCGACCCGTCGCGCGTCCGCGACCGCATCTCCCGGTCCGTGCGGCAGGAGCTGGACCAGCCGCTCAACTACGCGCGCGTCTACCTCGCCGACACGCTCCCGCCCGACGTGCGCCGCGTCACGTACCTCGACTCCGACGTGATCGTGGTGGACGACGTCCGGACGCTGGCGTCCGTCGACCTCGCGGGCCACGTGGTGGCGGCGCCCGAGTACTGCCACGCCAACTTCAGCAACTACTTCACGGACGCCTTCTGGTCGCACCCGGCGCTCAACGGCACCTTCCACGGCCGCCGGCCCTGCTACTTCAACACGGGCGTCATGGTCATGGACGTCGACAAGTGGCGCGCCGGCGGGTACACGCGCCGGGTGGAGGAGTGGATGGCCGTGCAGAAGCGCCGCCGGATCTACCACCTCGGCTCGCTGCCGCCGTTCCTGCTCGTCTTCGCGGGCCACATCCGGGCGGTGGACCACCGGTGGAACCAGCACGGGCTCGGCGGCGACAACGTCGAGGGCCGTTGCCGGGGTCTCCACCCGGGCCCTATCAGCCTCCTTCACTGGAGCGGCAAGGGTAAGCCGTGGCTCCGCCTCGACGCCCGGCGGCCGTGCTCCGTCGACTACCTCTGGGCGCCCTACGACCTATACCGTTACTCGTCGCCGGTGATCGACGAGTGGTGACTGGTGACTGGTGTGGTGAGCCGTGACGTGAGCATGCACCACCTGAGGAGCTACTAGCAATGGTAGGACAGTTCTTGCAGAGGGAAGAGGCATAACAATGCATGCATGGCTATGTATCTCTTGGATCTTTTAATTTATATACTGTGCAATTCACCCTCTTAATTTTGTATATATATAGATCATGCTGTAAATTTGTACAGATTTATTATTAGTATGCATGGTGGGGAAGCTCATGCTGACAAATGTATATGTACTATTGTACTGTATATTTTCGAGTTCATGTTAATACACACACAGATTCCGTATGCAGTACAGGTTGTTAAATACTCCTAGAATACTTCCTTTTTTGAAACAATACTCCTAGAGTACTTAACGAATGCATATTTATAGGCGGGCCCTATTTTTTTTTCTGCTTTCTGAATGAAAGGACAAGATCTCTGCTATATTTTACTTAAACTGGAGTTGGAGGAAAAACATTTAAGCAGGTCAGGACTTTTGGAACATAAACATGGTGAATTTTGCTCTCGATGAAATCCTAAATATTTGAATTTTGCTGAAAGACAACCAAAAATTGATCTTCGCTAGTACAACATGGATTTTTGCTTATGGACTCCGCCTCTATTATTAAAATATTACTCCCTATCACATGTACTGACATCTGTACGAACGTCATGTAATACCGACTAGAGGTAGTAATATCCGGAGACCGCATGAATAAAAGAGACACAATGTCCCACCTACAACCTTTGTAAGTTTCAACTGATTTCCCACTTTAAAAAATTAGTGCACTACTTTTGAAAGGAGGGGCGAGAATGTAGGAGAGGAAAATAAACCATATAGATTCTTCGGGCCTGCTTTGTTGTATTGCTCAGTCTAGTTTTTTTTTCTAATATAATAGGTAGTTCCTCTACCTAATTCTTAAAAAAACCATATATGGATTTCTAAAGGCCAGTCGCAAAAGAAAAAGATTTCTAAAGGACATTGTCATTCACTCTATGATTTTTTTTGCGACTTTGGTCTGTCTATGGTTAACTTTACCCTTCTCGACACACCATGTCTGTTGCGTAAATTGTATATTTTTCATGCATTCTATATGTATATTTATGTTTCACATGTAGTTGTGGATATTCATGTTGGTAATTTTGTAAACACATGCATAAATAACCTGTTTAGAATAAGTTATTCTGAGCATTACAATTAGCATAGATATTTCCTTATAGGTTATTTGCGCAGAGGTGGAGGTGAGGTGGGGTAAGTAAAAAAATGCAAGGGACAAGAGACATAAAGTTTTGTGTTGCGTAACAATGATTTTACATGGAGAGACACGGCATGATATCTGGCAGTGAAAGACATGGTGTATCTAGAGGGTATTGGTGCAATGGTTACGTCAATTGAATGCAATTGAGGGTTATTGTTTCAACTGTATTCCTTGAAAAATGCTTTGCATGTAACTACCCTACTTCTAGAAAATGCTTAGCTTTTATTCAGACGCTATCAGTGAAATTTTCAATGAATATGTTAGTGATTTTTGTCCTTATTAGATCATCCCCAAGAGTTTTCAAAACCCACTCTCAATCTAGATATTTTTGACAAGATTGAAAAAAAAAACGCTATCCATCAACTCCCTATATCTCAACTCTGAATCTTCGCACACTTGGAAAAATCAATCTTGTCACGCGGATATATATACACATGTAACCATCACGCCAACCCAAAGGTGGAAGGACGTGGGGAAAATAAGAAATAGGATGAGATAAAGTAAGTATAAAAGTGATTGGAGTGATTTAGAAATACTTTGAGATTCCTGATATAGGAGCGAGATTTTAGAAACCCACAAATATGCTCCTAATTTTTTTAGTCACTTGAAAAACTCATTAATTTACCAAGTGATTTTCAGAAACTATTGGAGATGCTCATCTCCATAGATAGGTTCAAAATAATTCCATAATTAAATCTTCGGTAGGAGTAGTTTGGAGTGAAAAGAAGTATTGTAACAGGCAGGGTGGTAGATGCAAAAGCTATGCGCGGCCAAATACAGAGGAGACAGAAAAGGGCGTCGCAACTCGCAATCGCAACCGCCCGAGCCCGGCCGTGTCCGTCCCTGTACATTGACGCCATTGTGCATTATTACGCCGTCGGCCCGCCGGCAACTCGACAAGGAAGGAAAAGGCACCGCGAGAGCTGAGATGTCCTTCTTCTTTCGCATGGCGTCGCGGCTGCGGCCGTCGACGCCGGAGGAGGTGGTCCGCTCCATCAAGGACTCCTTCCTCGCGCTCCACACGCGGACCCACGCCAAGGTGATTTGCTAGTCTCCCCGTCTCCCCGTCCCCTTCCGTCGGGCCTCCCTCCTCTTCAGTAGTTCTTGCGCCCTTTTCTTCGGAGATCTAGAGGCCGATCGATCCATGCGAACCCGCTTCCGGATAGCCTCCGGTGACGGAATCGGGGTCGATATCCAGTTTCGTTTCGGTGGTCATCTCAAGATCATCGTTGTTGGGTTCTCCCCCATGTGCCTGGTGATCATTTCCTTCCTTCTGTTTTGTTTATATAATTGGTTCCGATTGGTCGTGACATTACTGGCATATTTTGGTGGGTCGAAATGGGATAATGCGGAATGGCTCAACCCTTCGTCGTGATGATGCTTGAATAAAACAGAGAACTACTGGTTTGCTAAATTAAATTGGTAGAGCAAATATGCAGTTGCTAGGCTGACATGTTCTTGTAGTGCTTTGTTTGTCTGATTGTCTCCACTGTGATGTCAGGATGCGATTGATTACTTCCCTTGTTCCTTGCTCCTCAGCAAAGTGGTTGTTTTGACGTAACTTAGTTTACTTTGAATTCTCTTTCAGATTATTAGAATACTACTTGTAGACTGATTGGTATTCACCTTCTTGTTAGGCTCTGGAAGAGGTGGAGAAAAATATCTCGTCGTTGAGATTGTTGATCTTTGGTGATGGAGAAGTAGAACCAAATCAAGAGCAGGTCCTGCAAATAACCCTTGAGATTTGCAAGGAGGACGTCATTTCCCTGATCGTCCAGAATCTGCCTTCCTTGGGTTGGGGAGTACGTTAGCTCTCCTTTAATATTCTTCGCGACCTTTTTTTATTTTAATTTAATGATGTGTTTAACTGATTATTAGCTCTGTGGTTACAGGTAAGAAAAGATCTGGTTCTCTGCTGGGGCATTTTGCTTAGGCAGAAGGTTGATGAAACCTATTGCTGCGTGCAGTATATTGAAAATCATCTGGAGCTTTTAGATTTCCTTGTTGGTTGGTAAGCCATCCATTTCTTGATGTTAACATGATAAATAATTCGTCGATACATGTAAAGTGTTTTCGAGGTAATAGTGTAGTTAGAAAGATATATTTCAACAAGCTTGCAGTTAGCTATTTGCTTGTGCTTAGCTTATGTCACATATTCTCCTTTTTGGACCTTTATAATTGTCAATGGGGTCTTTAACTACTTGCGTGTAGCTAAAGTATGTTGAGTTTGAGCCTTTTGGTCCATGGTCATCTTTTTATGGTAGCAGATTATGACTTTCTTGGTCCATTTTCCTTGTCTGTCTTATGTCCTTTATATTAAGCTTAACTGTTATTTTTCAACAGCTACAAGAACTTGGATATTGCATTGAACTGTGGGAATATGTTAAGAGAATGCATAAAGTACCCTACACTTGCAAAGTAAGGGTTCAAAACCACCATTCAACTATGATTCCCTTCTATTCATGATTTAAATAGACGATGCATGCATACCTTAATAAATATAGCACTACATGCCTCAAAGAGAACAAATTGAGGTGATCTATGTATTTGGGTTTACCTTGCTTGGAACTCTCTGTTTTATGATAAGTAGCACATAAAAGTCACTTGCTCTCTGATGATTTATGACAGTCACATGTAACAAGGAAAGATAGAAGATGGTAGATGGACATATGATGTTTTCCTAATTTACACTTGGAACTTTTTTAATGAAAAAGACAACGCCATTGCAACTTTACAGGACATAATATAAGAAAACCTTCGTTTTAGTTGTATCTTTCTAGTTCCAACACATTATTATTATGTACTAAGTCAGCAATCAAGCAAGATCTGCATCCTTACATTAGCCTTTCCATTAGTCTATTCAGTGAATGAGTTTTTCTATTCTGTTGAGAACTTGAGGTAGACTTCTACAATCGCACTGGGTTTCCTAAAAGTGAAATTTCATGCATTTGATTTTGAAGTGCTCTTTCAGATACATATTGGAATCTGGTAGCTTTGAGCTGTTCTTTGAGTATGTTGAGCTGCCAAACTTTGATATTGCTTCAGATGCTCTGAACACCTTCAAGGTAAATCCATATGTGCATGTTTTTTTAGGTGGTCGAAGAATCAAATATTGATGATCGTCTTTGATAAGATTGTTGCAGGATCTGCTTACCAAGCACGAAGATGTAGTCGCAGGGTTCTTGAGTTCCCACTACGAGCAGGTCATTACTTGTTCTGAAATACACCTTTGGTCATGTGTCAACAAAAGACATCAAAAAAAAAATTATAGATAAAGTTTCATTAAAGCATATACTCCTTGAATCTATCTTATTTATTCCATACTCGTATGCACTATATGTTATTGCTTCGCTAATGCCTTATTCACAAATTGTATTGCAATTTTGTCAGCATGCCAGATATATTCTGTTTGTTTCTGTTTATCACTCTGATTATGTAATCTTTTATAGTTTTTTGAACTCTACTCAAGGCTCTTATCGTCAACTAATTATGTAACAAGAAGGCAGGCAATCAAGGTTTGACTGTTTCTAGCTTAACTATATTATTATCTCATTCACTTCAGAAGGAAACTTATAGTGCCATCTGTTGTTGTCAGTTCCTTTCAGAGTTTCTACTAGAGGCTCCTAACTCTCAAATAATGAAGAGATACATTGTGGAAGTTCGCTTTTTAAATATTATGATCAATCTACTAAAGGTATTATATATATTACTTCAACTCTTCTTTTGGAAATTACTAGACAAAATTATATTTATATGTTGATTACATTGCTGTCTCTTCTTACGTTAAATTTATAACTTTATGCCTTATTTTCTCTTGTTCGTGATATACAAATCGAACCAAAATACATATTTGATTATACTAGACCAGATCTCCACTAGGAATTTGAAAGGGAAAAGGTAGTACTGCACTATATACACATTTTACTGAATTTTCAATCGCTGAGGTTATCGTGCATCATTACAGGTGAAAATCTTTTGGGTATCGGATCTGCTTTTTGAACTATACTTGTATCTGCACAACATTTAAAAGTTCTTGACCAATTTAAGTCCTCCCTTCAGCTGTTTTAGTTTTGTTCTAAGTCAAACTTATCTAACTTTGACCAAGTTACAGAATGATGCATATCAAATTAGTTTCATAAATCCACTATGAAATGTTCTTAACAGTGAATTCATTTTGGTGTAGTATATTCTTAACAGTTAATACATTAGAGAAGTTTGATCTCAGAGAAAACTAAAACGACCTACATTTTGTAACGGAGGGAATAGCTCTCATAATAGATCTGTTTCTTGATAAGATGGGTGATAATAGTTGTTACAGGCGTGCTTAAAGTAAAGGTTCAGCAATGTATTCCTGATCTTTCATAAAACAGCACATCCTATCTAAAGCGTTTCAGCAGTTATTCTTTTTATGCCACAAAGTGTGTTTAGTCAGGTTATTATTTCTTAGAAATATATTGTTATAGATGTTCTCAACATGCACAGATAGTTAACTTTTTCATGCACTTCATACCTATCTTGTAGCTCTGTTTCTTCTAACCTGCATCTTTTGTAGGATTCAAGCAAAAATATCAGAATATGTGCCTTCCATGTTTTTAAGGTATGATGATCTTTTTTAAGCGCGCACACCTTTGCACATGCGGCTATGCATTTGAATGACCCCTATTAACCATTTCCTATGCTCAAACAGGTATTTGTTGCCAATCCGAACAAGCCTCGGTGTATCATTGTAGCTTTGCTTGACAATCGCAGGGAGGTTTTGAAGCTACTCCATAATCTTCCTACAAGTAAAGGTATTGTTGTGCATGGATATCTTATATTTTTCCACATGGAACCACTTGGCCACTTGGGGAATCAAGATACGAACAGACCAAAACACCATAGTGTTGAGGAATGAAGTATGGAAGTATCGTAAGATCGCCATTTTTCCTCCTTTATACAGGCGACGATGAACTTGATGAGGAAAAAGACCTAATCATTCAGGAAATCCAGAAGCTGGCATAGCCCAAAATCTTGCAAGAGTGTCTTTCTGGAGAACTTTCAGCACTTATCAGCCATTTATTGCCAAGACCAAAACGATGTATATCTCATTGCACATGTAGCCTTCAAGAGCTGTTGTCTTTTTTTGGAGGGTTTCGTTTTGGTCTCAGGAGACCATAGCAAAGGATTTGTCTTTTTGACGGAATTCTACAGATGATTTTGTGGTACCATGTATCGTGAGATTGCTAGTCAAATGAATTTTAGTTTTGTTTGAGAAAAAGCGAAGGTGTATAGCCATTGTAATGCGGCGTGTACTACTAACAGTATGTAGAATCAACGATACTACTGGGAAAATATCCAGTGCTCCAGAACTTAAAGCAACATGCAAATAGTCATGAAAAGTTATAACAAATTTGGATGCTGTTGGATATGCTACTCCCTCTGTTCCAAATTAAATTAAAATTGTTTTAAGTTTAATCAAATTTATAGAAAAGAGTACCAATATTTAGAACACCACTACATACACTATGAAATATATTTTTTATTAGTGTGCTTATTTGGTATCATAGATGTTACTCTTTCTTATAAAGGTGACCAAACTTATTTGACTTAGAAAGTTTGTCCATACTTGACGATAGCGATAGTTACTTACGTTAACAAACTTTTTCGTATTTTCGCTGATTATCTGCATGCCGCTTATAAAGACTAGAAAGGCCACTTATAAAGACTAGAAATTTGGGAGTGCCAGCTATGGTCTCGGGTGAGCAATCAGCCAGCTCTGCCTTTTGCAGGAAGAAGGGTGCTAACCTATATTCAGCTCTGCCTTTTGCCGGAAGAAGGGTCCTTACCTTCAGAGATTACAGAGAAAAACCCAGAATAGCTAATAACACTGGGGAAATTCTCCGAACATAGCATGAACAAACACATGTACGAGACCGTATTTGTCGGATACCACAAGAAGGGTACCTAAGCAAGAACCAAAAATATTGCTTAAGCCTTGTAAAAATCAAAGCCAAAGGACAACCACGAGGTCTCGGTAGATTCTCCGACTCGCCCAAGGCTTGCGCCGAGGCCTCAGACGAAAGGCCAAAGCCCTCCGCCCCGCCGAGGCCCTCTCGCCGAGGCCCCGCCCCGCAAGGCCTCGGACGGGATACCAATTCTCCGATTCGCTCGAGGCTGGGCTCGGCAACAACCTCGTCACCTCCATCCCGACCGACTCCTCTGACAAAACGTCACATCCAGATAATGCGCCACACTACTCCCGCAACGTCAGCCGCCCGTTGGCGCAGTACAGGCAGAATGACCGACGGGACAGGGGACCGGGCGCAACAGGGTTACCTGCCACTGTGCTCATCACTGTGCCCCCTGCTGACACCCGTACTGTCCTGTGCTACCTAACTCCTGCGCCAAGGACAAAGTGGCGTGGAGGGTCAAGTCCGGGTCCCTGTAGTCTCGGAATCAGCATGAAAGACCAACTGTTCGTCCTCCGCCTCGTCCGAGACCCCCTGGCAGGGCCTCGGACGTACTATTCCTTCTCCGCCTCGGTCGAGGCCGGGCTCATCCCGCATCCTCGTCGCCTCCACCTCAACCGTCCCTCTAGTGAGCCGTCCCATCCGTTTAAGTGCGCCTGGTCACACCTACTACGTCAGCCACGACTGGCAGGGTACAGCAACAGGGGCGATGGGACACGGTCAAAACTCCTTTTTACCATCCCCTACTGACGGTGCAGGGGTTACCGTGCCATGTGGACACACGCTCCGCACTTTTCCACCTGAACCGGGTACGACGCTGACCACCGAGACCCCCGCATCATACACGGGTCACCTACGAGGCCTCGGCAAAGCAGGCCTCGGCACGATCAGCTACAACACCCGCCAGGCCTCGACACTCCACCAAGTCAAGAACCCACAAGGCACGACATGTCTCCTACGGTGGAGGCCATCTCGACTAGACGTCAACAAGGACTCCCACGACCTCAACAACCTCGGGCTGGCCAAGACGCAGCGGCCTTGACCAAGTACCAATCGCCATTCCCAACACCATGCTGCTACAGGGACTGAACTACAGTAGGCTCCACATGTAGCTCACTCATGTACTCCTGGCTCCCTCCTTGCGGTTATAAAAGGAAGTAGCCAGGGATAGCTCTAGGGGGCAAAAAAACATACGAAAGAACCACGCCCTCACACATGCCCAAGCAACACTCCGTAACACACGCGCTCCCAAGCTGCCTGAGAGCAACGTCTCAAGCGGCCCGCACCGTTCCACGCCGAGACCTGGGACTAGCTTCCTCTCTCACCTAGCTTGTAACCCCCTACTACAAGCACTTCGGTGCAAGAAATATAAGATCGATCTCTCAGACTGGACGTAGGGCACCAATTGCCTGAACCAGTATAAACCTTGTGTCTCTTTGCACCATCATCCGGAATTAGGGGCATGCAGTTCAAATTCACTGGTTGGTTGGGGACCCCCCGGTCCGAAACACCGACAGTTGGCGCGCTAGGTAGGGGCCTCTGCGTGTTAGCTTGATCGTCCCAACAAGTTTCGAATGGCTGACCCCATACGCCCACTACGTCTCGGCACGTTGATCTGGTTCGGGAGCCTAGAGTTCATATCTCTAGGATGTGAGTACGACCTAGTACTCCTCCCACCCAGAGCCCCTTTGGTCGACGACGGCGTCGCAAGCACCAAGCAACCCGGCAGCAGCGGCGCGGGTCGCCGCCTCGTCGTCGCTCGCGCAGCACGGCGCGGAAAGCAGGATCACCCGACACCGCAAGACGACCTCGAGGCGACGCGCCGCGCCGCCGCGGTATCCCATGCCCGATCATGATACGAGGTCCCTGGTTGGGGACCTGTCTGGCCTAAGCTTGGGCAGGGGAAAGACACCGGTGACGTGCAGCAATGCCCTGTCGTCAAGTTCCGCACCGCCACCACCTAAGGAGCCAACTCCGGCGGAGCAGGGCCCAGCGATGGCCCCGTCTCCATACCCTTTTCGGGTTGAGAAATGCTGCCGCCGCCTACGCTTCGCTCACACGGAACCCTCAAGGCGCCACCAACGTTTCTCCCTTGACTTCTCGGCCACAACCTCGGTTCACACCCACACCGACTCCTCAGAGGAGGACGAGGCGTGGGTCGGAGCAGACTTCTTCGAGCTTCGCGACCCTGAGGCTATGCGTCGCTTTTTGGCCGCAAGCGACTACTGCTTCGGCTACTCCGACTCCGCTGACGAAGGCACTTACGATCCCACTCGAGAGTGCTTCCACATCGGGCTCGGAATGCCAGGGGCAAGCAATGAGAATGAAGGGGCAGGCAACCGCTCCTCGCTCCGCCAAGGGGCGGGCGACGCCACACCCCCGCTCGTCGAGCTTCGGGCAGCACGGAACGTGAACGCCGCCCCTGAGGAACTCCAACGCCTGGACCTGGAGCAGCTCCGTGAGCTCCAGGCAAAGGTCGACCAAGACCGACTCCTGTTGCAGCAGCTCCGAGACACTCTCGAGCAGGACCAGCGAGGTCGCGGTGATGGCGGAAGGGCCAGGCGGAGGGCCCACGATGTGCACCGCCGCATCAACAACGACGAGGGGAGTGAGCAACCCCCAATCTTCAATCACGCTAGCCAGAACGTCGCGGCAGCGGCAATGCTAGTCCGAGAGATGCCCGAGCCCTCTACCACGGAGGGGCGACAGGTTCGCGGCGAGCTCCGAGACCTTCTCGAGACCGCCGCGGTACAGTAGGTCGAAAGCTCCATGCCCCGACGGTGTGAGGACACCTCGAAATGGCCCTCGGTGCATGACCACCTCAGGGCCCCCTCAGTGCACGACCGCCTCAGCGACCGACGCGAGGCGCAAGATAACCACGATGTGGTCAGCAGGCGATGACGCCACGACGATGATGGGCCCACCCGAGGCTACCACCCGCACCGAGGCGGCCGCTACGACAGTGGCGAAGACCGCAGTCCTTCTCCTGGGCCACCTGGCCCTCGAGTCTTTAGCAAGGCCATCCGTGGCGCCTCGTTCCCCGCCCGATTTTGGCAACCGGCCAACCTCGCAAAGTACAGCGGTGAGACCAACCCCGAGTTGTGGCTGGCTGATTACCGCCTGGCTTGTCAGTTAGGCGGCGCGAACAATGACCTGCTCATCATCCGTAACCTCCCTTTATTCCTGTCAGACTTAGCGCGAGCCTGGCTCGAACACCTCCCTCCCTTGTAGATCCACAACTGGCGCGACTTGGTAAAGATCTTCGTCGGGAATTTCCAGGGCACATACGTGCGCCACGGGAACTCCTGGGACCTCAAGAGTTGTCACCAAAAGCCGAATGAGTCTCTCTGAGACTTCATCCGGCGATTCTCCAAGCAGTGTACTGAGTTGCCCAGCGTCGGCGACTCAGAAGTGGTCCAGGCTTTTCTCTCCGGCACCTCCTGCCGAGACCTGGTCTGAGAGTTAGGCCAGAACGTACCAACCTCAGTGGCCGTGCTCCTCGACATCGCCACCAACTTCGCCTCGGGTGAAGAGTCCATCGGGGCCATCTTCCCCGAAGGTGACACAAAGGGGAAGCGGAGGGACGAGGCACCCGGGGCCTCGGCCTCCCGTTTCCCCAAGAAAAAGAAAAAGGGACGCCTAGGGAAGCAAGAGGCCCTCGAGGCCGATTTCATCGCAGCCGTGGATCGCAAGAATCTCCGTGGCCCCGGCAAGGGCCCCAGAGTATTCGACGATATGCTTAAGAAGCCCTGTCCTTACCACCAGGGCCCGGTAAAGCATACCCTCGAAGAATGCACCATGCTCCGACGTTACTACGCCAAGCTCGGGCTCCCCAACGACGATGCTAAGAAGAAGGGCGCCGGCGACAGAGATAATGACAAGGACGACGGGTTCCCCGAAGTGCACAATGCCTTCATGATCTTCGGTGGGCCTTCAGCGTGCCTCACGGCGCGTCAGCGAAAGAGAGAACGCCGGGAGGTCTTCTCGGTCTAGGTAGCCACTCCCCAGTACCTAAACTGGTCTCAGAAGGCGATCACCTTCGATCAGGAAGAC